TGTATGTGTGTATATGTATATGTATATGTATATGTATATGTATATGTACTGTATATATGATATGTATGTATAAATGTTTACTAAGTTTGGGAACAGAGTTGAATAAGTCAATGGAGATAAATAATCAAACTTTCTTATCGAATATAAAAATAAAAATATACATACAGCTTGTGAAAGATAGAGAACAAAGAAAGGGGAGGAAAGGTAACAAAAAACCATTTGTAAATCTAAAACGATGACAACCGACTTGTCCAACGTTTCGAAACATAAAGATAATAAGCATAAAGAACAAGGAACAGACAAGGAGCCAAAAGAAACTAACAACACAAAACATATTGAGCACGCAATCTTTACTTTGAATTTTATTTGTATGTGCTTATCTCTTTGGTTTTTTTCGGAAAAGAGTCTTTCCTCCCGCGGTCATTTTAGTATTAGCGTGATTTAGAATGTGTTGATTAAAATGGCGTGAGCTGTATTGAAGTTGGGGAGAGGGGGAGGATTGAGGGGATGTTATGTTGATCGTATTATAAGATTGGGCAACATATGCACTTTAAGTACTATTAACAATAATTGTCTTTATATTGTAATCATCGTCACAAGTCTTGGTTTTTCTCATGTTATCTTACAAATCAAGTATATCATTAAACGATAACGATAATCCTTTTTTTTTTTTGCTGGTCCCTTGTTTGAAAGAGTCAAAAATCATTACCGTATAAAGTTAAATCCATTTTCTCCATGTATCCTTATAGAGAAAATATTGCAACAAAACTAAAACCACATGATATTGCCAAAACCACACGCTTTTTTTACGATTCAGAGATGTACAATCTCTTATTTTTGCCCCGTGGTCATTTTTAACGCCCTTCCCGTCGCGTTTACAAACTCTAAAAGGAACACACCCCTACAATCATTGATAGTCCGAATGACGTCGACGACCCAAATAATCGTAATTGTATTACTAATGCTTTCTGGCGTTGAAATGTGATGTTTTCTATTGCTATTGACAAAATTCCGTTTTCCTTTATTTTTATTCGCGAGAAAGGGTTTTTGTCCAAACAAACAAATTAATTATTTGAAGGGGCATACACAACTATAATTTAAAAATGGGATATCAAATACCTTTAAAAAACTATGCAATAGTTTCGTTTGTTAATAATTATAAAACTTTGATTACTGAAACGCTGATGCTACAACCCCTCAAAAACTGTTACAATGTTTTATTCCACTTGGAAAAATTCTCCAGAACACAATTAAAAGCGTCAAAATAAACCACTTTTTCAAGCCTCCTAACTTTAATCCTATTGAGAACCATTCACATGTGATTCCGATAACGCCAAGCAAAATAAAATTTAATTCCTGAACAAAATTTTGTCAATAGACATTCCGCTGTAGATTAAGGCTAATAATTATGCAGCTAGTTTTAACTTATTGGCTTAACGCGTTCTTGGCGAATTAAGCTCAACGAGAAAATTTTATTTTTTTTCTTGTCTGAAGTTGTCAAGGCATATAACGATAACAAAAAAACATTGATATCAGTCTTATTGCCGCAACATATCAAGTAAAGCTGTAAAGCTTAAGAGAATCTCGTACAACGTCAGATTTGTAAAACAAGTGCTAGAAATCAGAATATAAAATGTTGCGTATTTCGCAGACTTGCATTTAGTTAGCACCAATTCGGCTTTTGTTGGGAAAAAGGCTGCGCGTGTATTATTTTTTTTTCATAATAAGAGAGTAGCGCCTTATGGGAATGAGAATATCAGTCATCTAACGGCTACGTGCTTGTCATTTATTGAAAAGAATATGGGGTTCGCATACATACATAATAGGTAAAATGGATCTTCGCGATATGGTCAAAAACGTATTTTTAAATGACTTTTTCAAATCCACGAAATTTTCGCAGAGTCGGGATCCATCTTATCATCTGGTATCGTGGTCAGAAAAAATTGTAGGGTTTGTTATGCTTGCCATTCTTTATTTATTATTAAGCACAATTCGGTACATTGTGAATTATAAATTACATCAAAAGCCAGAGTATTGATACAATTGAGCTGGGTGGGCTATTAATTAGTTCTTCCACTGGTGAGTGAACAATGTCATGATACATAGCATTATTCTAGCATTCAACAGTCAGAGATGTTTCGGCAATTGGCACTTTGTCTATTGTGATGGCGACATATTCATCACTACAATAGCAGAAACTAATGAGCACAATACTGAAACATTTATCCTGATGATCTTCATGTGCTTCAGTAAAGTAGATCTGAAGATAGATATGCTCTGTAAATCTGGATGAAACAGCGTCCTCCCCCCCGAATGAAGTAAACGCTTGTAATAAAAATATCACCTGTGGAACTTTTGTAATTGTCCAACATAAACATGAAATATTGTTTACTTATTTGTGAAAGCTGGAATCGGGGATATCAAAAACGAAAATTAATCGTGTCAAGTTCTACCTTAAAAATCACAAAGATTGTCATTAATTGTGAAATGAAGCAGCATCACATGTTCACTTTTCCATATCATTATAAATTCGCCCTAAACTCCTTGCCAAATCGTTTCAAATTGGCAGATGATGTCATCGAATCCTCCATTCGAGTCTCGCAGATTTATGCCATGCTGATATGATGTCATTTTTTGATCACTAGCCAAAACTACTACGTACGGATCAAGTTCCTATTTAGCAGATCCTTTTCACGATAAAGCATAGGTTCCGCACGATACATAATTCATTCTATATTTTTAAGTGCACTTTTTAAGGCTTTGTATCGCCTGTTCTAAAATCACCGGACCGCCTGGTCGGCCATGATTTGTGAACCCTATCAGCATTTGTATTACACCTATCTTTTCTATTTTGTAGTGGATATACAGTGTGTTACAAAAAATACTATAAACGCGCTTTAATAGCAGAAGTGTCAGCGATAGGAAGTTAATAAGGTATCCTTTCGCTATTATTTTCTATAATTAACACTATATCAAGAATTAAATTTCACTCTTCAACCATAAATTACCAACTTTAGTTTTGACAAAAATACCATAGTCTGGACTGTTGCAGGCGCGTCCATTAATTGGAGAACATTATCCCTAAGAAATGGCTGAGGCAAGACGACTTGTGTGCTTGGGGTCATTGTCCTGCCGAAACCGTCAGCTCTTTCCCATGTTGCGCAGACTTTCGGAAGATAACCATTGTTCTTGTGAAGCAAAAAGGCTGGTTTTTACCTTTGACGATCTTTTGGAATTTGACGAGTAGGCCGTTTACTCTTACACTAACGTGTCTCGTCAGTCGTTCAGACGTATCGTGCCTATTTTTGATTTACATTGGGGAAGGCTTTCGGTAACTTTTTGTTATAGCCAAGCAGTGAAAGAGGTCTTGAAATTGTCACGCATGAAACATCATAACCTTTATGCAGAAGCCTTGTTTCAAGAGTTTTTATAGAAATACTAAAGTCTCGGCGTATAGACTGGACTACTGTCTTCGCTACCACGGGTAATAATTTCTTTGATCGACCACTTCCTTTCTCGCGACTAAATTTGCCATTAATTTTTTGAAATTATTATAAATCGTTCGCATGAAAATTTTGTGGCAATGTAAATCTCTTTTGCTGAGCGCACCTTGACGTCCCAATAATGCATAACGGAAGTTAAGGATGGTATAGCTGTGTTATTATAAAACGATGTTTGATATATTGATCTTACTTAGACTTGGATGGGTGTGTTGATAAAATGCAGTCGAATCGTGCTTATGAATTGCTTCAGATACATTTAGAGAAGAGAGCAGCAATCTCACAACCTTTGCCTTAACATCTTTCTCCTGCATTTGTCCATGACAAAACATAATGCAATATTTGGACTTTTTTATACCCGTGTATACATTTTATCATTCTTGGTCTCTACTTTATTAATAATTTTACTAGTAATCTCATTAGATATTTTGAACGCATTCGTTTGGGAATATCGCGTGACTAAACCTACCATTTTTTGCATGTGTTTCAAACAGTGTAGCTATTGAAAGATTCCGTCTTGATGTCATAGTTAGCAATACAATCATAACGCGCAAAAGTACATGTATTACGTATCTAAGAGCGATACACCAAACTCTTTGGCCATAGCTTGTATTTCTTTTTCCTGGCCATAGTAGGCCACGTTAGTACTATAGTTGTTTGAGTGATAAGTTTATATGTGTGTTTGTTATAGTTTTTCTCTGTTGATGTACGGTCACTGATGAGTGGAGAAAAAAAATATTTTTTCTGTTTTTTTTTTTTTTTTTTTTTTTTTTTTTTTTTTTTTTTTTTTTTTTTTTTTTTTTTTTTTTTTTTTTTTTTTTTTT